CGCGCTAATCAGCCGAAGCCGTTTTTAGCACATGGCCAGCTTATAAAGAAACTAAAATCTCATCGAAAGGCACTGCTTTGCGTTACAACGATCGGCCTACGGAGTTAAAAACTATAATTATTTAAACACGATACCTATTTCAAACAATTAAAATCAACAACATAATTATGATATGGTTTGACTTCGCATGCCTGCAGATATGGACAGCGAAAGTACTTTAAACTTGAATTGGTCAGGTAACAATCACTTTTTAGGAACTGATATAACTGCCTGACGTTCTTTACATCACCCTTCTTGGTTACTCACCCATAACTGTCACAATTATGTTTTTATCATAGCTTGTGACCCTCTTTGTTCCTTTAGTTTGTTTGATTGTACAAATGAATGTCCCATTATCTTCAGGCTGTACAAGTCTAATATGTAGGCTGCCATTGGACAATTGAGTGAATGGTCCTTGGCTTAAGGATTTTCCTCCTTTCTTACGCCAAGATATCTGTGGGCTTGGGTTTCCCTCGGCACTGCAGTTTATAATACCAGGTGCGCCCGCAATCATAGTTTGTTTTTCTGGGGTGTTCTCAGTAAATTTTGCTGTCAAAATAAGTGATAAGAATAATCAACATCATAGCAGTACTAGTAAAAGGTCAGTAGTATACTGATCTTACCCGTCATTATCCAGCATTTTTAGCCTATAACTGTATCTCTGTAAGCTGAAAAGATGTTTTCTTACCATTAACGTAGACAATGTAATATCGAACATATTCCAATCTGGAGCACTCGTATAGTCCCGCATCAGACAACTGCACCTTATCAATGAACAGTTCACCAGCTTCTTTAATCCTGATTCTTTGAGACGTAGAGTTTGTCTTATGCTGTACACCATTAATGACCCATCGTGTAAAACTGGTTTCTTTATGTACTGAGCATAGAAGCTTTTCATTGCTGCCAATATTAAAATAAAGTTTTGTTTTGTCCAACACTTTTTTGTTCTCTGCAAGAAATAGTTCAGTTAGAGGATGTTATAAAAAAAATAATCTCATCTTAAATAACATTACAGGTAGAGAAAGAAAAGATGAATATATTTACCAATACCAATGCTTAAACTGACAGATTTGTAGATTTTCCATACATTATATTAGACCAAGTTACATTACTCCACACAAAGTCATGTCAATCGTTGTCAAATTCTGTTACATCCAAATTTTAAAAGTCGTGAAGCCTCTTTAAGACCAAGGTAGCCCCTCACCAAGTCATGAAATTCAATAAACAGCCATTGATACCCTCGTAAAAATCACTTGAGCCCTAGCTTAAGTCACCTGAGTCATTTTACCTTGGACCAAGTAAAATAACCACTAAGCTTAGTCATGTCCCCCAAACCAAGTCATGTCATCCCTTGTTCGAGTAATATCTTTATCTTAAGTGTAAAATTTTGCGAAAAAAAACTTATGCTTTTTCGCAAGCCGTACTTCAGCAGGCACTCTTTAGAAAAGAGGTCATCTATAGATCCGAATTCTTATCTGATTTTCCTTTACTCTAAAATGTCTAACAGTGGAAGAGAGACAACACAAGAGAACAGAATCAGGATTCGAGCTTTAGAATGAACTACTTACTTGGTTGACACAACGCCTGAGAACCCTCGTCATCTGAAAAGCATTGAGGTGAGATGTTAGCTTTGCCATCAATACGAGCACAAGATGCGAGTTCTGGCTCATCTCCATTGCAAGAGACATCTGACATTGCAAAAGGAATTCCCTCATCCTTAACGTCTGAACCAATGAATTCCGCCAAAGCCTCCTCAAAGCCAAGTTGACGACAAATAACTTTGACATCGTCAAAATCCCATCCATTCCTGCAGATCTTTACCCATTTACCTTTGTAAAATACTTCCACTCTTCCTCCATACTCCATATCTGCACCATTCAAGCGAACAGGAACTAAGGAAATTCAAAAAAAAAAAACTACAAATTAGGATGGAATTCGCTAATTATGGGAATGAAAAATTCCTGCAACATTACGAATGGCCATAAATCACGAAGTGAATTAGTAGTTAATGCTTATTTTGTGATCGTCTTTTTTTTTTAAATTCTCAATTTTTTAATTTGTAATTTCCGTCAGGCTACAAGTTTCACTATTATCAAGGACGTGACGTTTTGATAGGTTTAAGTGGAGTCCAGAAATTTTGAAATATTTTATCGCACACGAAAGAGAAAAATGGGAAAGGAAAGGGAAACCAAATTTTTTGGGGAACTAAAATGAAGGGTTTGAAAAGATCAATCTGACTCTTTCTTTGAGAACTGTAACGTTTATGAGCCCTAAATACATGATAGCGCAAGTTCTTGTTTCAGCAGTTATTCAATAGTTATTTTATAAGAATCTAACTAGAACTGTAGAAAACAGTTAGATTTAACTAATCGACAGTGGTTTGAGGACTCAAGAGGCGCAGTCGAGGGAGTCCGCCACAAAATGGCCGATCAGACCGCAAAATTATTGGCAGTTTTGGTAAAATTTTCAATTTTCATACCTCTCGTGTACCTGAGCAATCTTCGAAGACGTAAAATTATTGTTTTCAGGCTATTTACCACTCTGTCAATGTACTTGAAGTTTATCATGTTACCGAGTTCGGAAAATGGTATCATGAAGATATTGCCTGTGTACAATTCATTCTTACCTTTGCAAAATTGGTGTTTCTTTGCCAGGTTTTTTTGACATTTAGTTGGAGTGGTGCAGTTGGGGTAGATGGATTCCTTCGAGGCGTTGCCTCTTTCTGCATACCATGTGTCATTGGCATAAACACCGTTGTTATAGTAGCCCATGGCCATGCAGGTTGAATATAAATCAGCTTCATCCCATTGACTGGTACAAAGCTTTTGCCAGCTGCTGTTCGTGTAGATTTCCATTCTACCGACAGACGGGTTTCTCTCTGTTTTGAAACGTAGCGGAAATGCTTCAAAAAATTAAACAAACAATAGATTTAGTTATTTAGTTTATTTTGTTTTTACAGCACTAATTGTCTTATGATAATGAAATAACATCGATAATAATGACCGCAAATATCAAAATAATAACAAACGCCCGAGCAGCCTGCAGGACGCATGTTATACATAGACTTCACATTGGGCCTTGCTCACCTGTGGCTAGTAATAGAGCATCGGAGCGCGGAATCCGAAGGTCTCAGGTTTCAATCCACATGGGGACTCAAAATTTTTCTTTGTCCCACTCTCGTGACAAGACGAAAATGCCGAGCTCAAAATTTACGATTTTTCTTATTCTATTTACAAACATAATGATGTTTACCGATTAAAATTATCAAGCTAATTACGAATTCATGTCCTTAGACTTTTCCCTCGCATGCCATAGGAACCATCTAAGTATTTCAAATTTGGGAAAAACTCGTTTCTCAGTGATCAGAATTGATGACGCCATCGAGGTTGAGTTAAACGGGCATGAAAAAGTTTTGTAACAAAAATAGGAGCCTCATAAGCTTCGTTGTAATAATTACTATACTGAATAGAAGAGGAGAAGAGATTTTAGAACGAGCATACTCTATAGCTTTCAATAAATTGTACCTTGACACTTTCTGTACATGGAACAATATTTATCTTTTTTTCTCTCGTAAAGAACATGGTGAGTTTTGCACATGTACAGTTTAATCATGAAGGATGTGTTACTTATAATGAAATTAAATCCTTACTTTTAAAGATTTGTCCTTTTTATATACTTGCCTAAATTATAGTGCACGTGTGTGATTTAGGTTGAAAGCCAGAATTTTCCCCGAATTCACTGTTATTTTAATTTCTATTAGTGTATTTATTCATTTTGTTTTTGTAAAAGACTTTCCTTCCACCGAAATCACATAGCAGAATTTTGTATGTTACCTTCATGGCAACTGGACGTGTTGCTACATCCTCTCAGCAGTGCTCTGGTCCCATCGCAGTGTTTCCCACCATATGCATAGGTTGGTTCTGGATTAGTACATTCTCTTTCCCTTGTTTGTATACCGCCAAATGACTTGGTACAGATACTCCATGAGTTCCACTCGCTCCAGCCACCATCGACTAAAAC